AATGACTGAATTAAATAAATATGCGGAAGACTTAAATTAAAGTGACTGAATGAAAATGCGGAATCCAACATAAATCTCTACCCAAGAACTGGTGTCACATTACTCGCGAACTTCTAAGAATACTGAATACAATCGTCTGAAAGAAAATAATAAACTGTTTGTCTCGACTACAATGAGATAATAGACTAAAATAGTAGATAGAGGAGACGCCGGGCCTGCGGACGCCTGCAAGGCTACCTCGGTGTCTCACTAGTCTGATTGCTCACACTCGCGCTACTGCTGCTGCTGTCCGAAACCTGTATCTATGCAAAAGAGCACAGAGTGTAGTATCAGCACAACCGACCCCATGTGCTGGTAAGTGCCTAGCCTAACCCCGGCGAAGTAGTGACGAGGCTACGATCAGACAATCAAATAAACCTGTGCAGTTCAAGTATATATATAAACAACAAAGGAAGTACTGGAAGCAACCAATCAATATGGGAGGGGAAATATGCTGTGGGGAGGTAACAGTTTCAAATAGAAATATTCAATAAAAGAAGGAGACAACAAAGTCATAATATCAACAAGTATCAAAAGGAATCAACAATTTGCACGACATCACCCTTCGTACTTTTACTCTCTTCCTCACCCAAGCAATATATAATATAAAACTGTATACGGCATCACCCTTCGTGCTTTTACTCTCTTTCCTCACAATATAATCAATAGATATCAGTACAGAATGACACAGAGTATGGCACGACATCACCCTTCGTGCATTTACTCTCTTCCTCACCCAAGCAATATATAAAATAAAACTGTACACGGCATCACCCTTCGTACTTTACACTCTTTCCTCACCATATCAAACAATACACGGCATCACCCTTCGTACTTTACACTCTTTCCTCACCATATCAAACAATACACGGCATCACCCTTCGTGCTTTATCACTCTTCCTCACCCAAACAACAATCACAGATAAGGGGTAAGGAAGTAAACTGGATAATAATCGGAATTCCAATAAGGGCACAACAATTAACAATAAAATTCCCGGCAAGGAATATATCAACAATTCCACAATTATCTCGGCAAGGGAATAATTCAATAATTCTTTCTCTTTCTTTCATTTCTTACTTAGTAATTCATTTTATAACTTGAGCCAACGCTCCTCAAATATTAAATATCACCATTTCTTTCACATGCCTTTCACAACATATAGAAGTCATCATTTAATCATGGAAGATATAAC